GCACACATAACTACGCAACGCGTAATTATGCACATGGGGAGCTGAGTGACATGACGTTTTTTGGGCAAGCTTCTGATTCATACTGTGTTCGAATGGACCCAGTGAGGCGAGGACAACATCCGCTTCGCCCTTAACCCACTAAGCGACAGCCTTAAAGGGCTACGCCTATACGACATAGAACGTTGGTTACGTACTGTAACCCCAGATTCTATGAGTATAGGCGTAGCCCTTTAAGCGTCGGGCCTCACTGGCTCCTGAATAGCTGAAGAAAAAATAAAGCTATTTGGGAGCCGATTACCCGCTCTTAATTTAACTTATACGGATCGGGTGGGGCCCACACAGCAGGTGGGCATGGACTAATTTTTTCAGTGTGATGCTTACGCATAACGGGATAAACCCACTAAGCGACAGCCTTAAAGGGCTACGCCTATACTCATAGAATCTGGGGTTACAGTACGTAACCAATGTTTTCAAGTGATGGATGGGGGAATTAAATTTGTTTTGTATAACCACAACTATGTGAAATTCATTTTAAGTTGTTTAGAAATTATAAAAAAATTCTGCATACCTGGGTTGGAACAAGTGGCTATTTGAGTTTCTTTTGCCTTTCTGTCTTGAACCTGTCTGCTCTTTCTCCTCTGACACAAACAAGATGTTTTCATTCACAATCTCTGCCACTCCGCTGTTCTTTCATTGGACCATTTTCTGTAAACAGTAAAGATTAATGCTTCAAAATACCTACAGATTAACAGTTTTTGAAAGACTTAGAGCAGACTGCTTGGTACCAGCAACCATTCAAATCCTCTTTCTGCTCCATCCTGATTCTCAGTTTGAATATCAGCGTGTGTCTTTACCACATTCATTAGCCTTGCATTGAGAGGCTGCTGCTTAGCTATTTGTGTTAGCAAGTAATTGAACGGGTGCAATGGATAAAGTAGCTGGTGAGTATAGGTACAATTTAAAGCACAGCATATATTGCTACACTGTGATTATGTATAAAAAGGCCTTGTCCCTCTTATGTGCATTGTTCACCCCAGCTAGGGTTTGTGTCCATACATGTCAAAGATGAGAGGAGCAGACAACCATAACAGAAAATGACAGATGGTTAAAAGCATCATCTCTCCTCAGCCCTTTCATCCTTTTATTTTCCCTACTCTGTCTCTCTCTGTATCCCTGTCTCTAAGCCTCTTTCTCCCTGCTCCTACATTCTGGACACTCTCCTCAATCTGTGTTTCTGCTTTTCAGTACATGTACGAGGGTGTGAAAATCAGTGACCTGGCAGTGGACCTCTCCATCGTATGGAATGGCAACTTCATCATCGACAATCCCGAGAAGATTAAAGGTGCCTTTGCCATCCATCACTGCCAAGCCAGAAGAGTGTAAAGTACTCAATCCACAGGCAATAGATAGTTTATAGAGAGCACTTCAAGGTTCACAAAAGGCGAGAAAGTTCACTACAGCAGGGAGCGTTATCAAAGAGCACCAAATCACACATCCAGAGATGTGAAGGCTGAATTTTCATATTTGACCATCGTGGCTTTTTGTCTGGTTCTCATCTTTTTTCTTCAGCCATGGGCCTGAAGTCCAGTGTTATAGTGCCCTTTAACAACATATTCTGAGTCAACAATGGTCTTTGTGAAGCCATTAATCATTTTATTGCATGTTATCACTCAGACACATTAATGTGAATGGGCTACAAAGGGGTATTATGAGTTTCAACATTAGAAGATGTAAAAATAGAAAGAAAAATATAAGAACAATAATGGCTTATTGGGTGACTTTGGGAAGTTTAATTTTGTAGAAATATGCAATTGTTTGTATATTGCTGACTTTATAAGATGAATGTCTGTTTATTATTATTATTATTATTATTATCACTGTTATTATTGGTGTATTCAAGTAGTTTATTTCATAATAGACTGATGTTTGAGCTGAAATGCAACAATACTCCCTGCTGGTTTAAATTGTACATATTGTACTCAATGCATTTTATAGGCTTTCAAGACTTTCTCAAAAAAAAAAAGTGATCTTTCTTGTCTAATATAACCTAAAAAGCATCCCTGTTGTGTTGTATCTCGCAGTGCATCTCTACAAGTGCAGTGCCCAGCGGGACAGCTGTGGCATGTGTCTGCGGGCAGAGCGCAAGTTTCTGTGTGGCTGGTGCAGCGGTGAGGGCCGATGCACCATGAAGCAGCACTGCCCTCCCATCTCCCCGTACACGAGCCGGTGGCTAGATCTTTCTGCCAAGAATGTCAAGTGTACCAACCCGCGCATTACTGAGGTCTGTTGTTTGATTTAATTATTGTCTTCAAATTTTTCAGTTGAGCCACCAGATAACCGTTTTTATTATAATTATAACCAATTAAATTTTTATTTGTTCACATTGCCTAACAGTTAATCATTATACCAATTGCATTTGTTTGACTAAGTTCCAATAAATTCTACAAATGCTGATTTTAGTGTCCTGCACTAAATGTATATAGTAAAAGGGGCTGTGATGGCTCAGTGGTTAAGTGTCTTGAGATCCTGAGGCTGCAGGTTGAAGCCCAGGTTGCAACTGGAAGGGCATTCGGTGTAAAACAATTTCCAAATCTTTTGTGCAGATTTACTTGCTGTGGTAACCCCTGCAGAATGGAGCAGCCAAAAGTTATGTGTGGTAGTAGCTGACAGTCATTTACAATACATACAGTACTTAGAGCACTAAGTTCAAGTACACTTTATTGTTATTACCATCTCATGTGGTACATGAGATGGAACGAAATTATGTACACAGGGTCCCAGTTACACCCAAAAATATCAAAATATAAAGTATAAAAAGAAACAGTAAACAAGGATCTAACATCTCATAACATAAAACATTGAACATCAGCACAAACATGAACATGAGTCTCACACAGACTCATGTTCATGCTTGTGCTGATGTTCAATGTTTTATGTTATGAGTGCTTAGTGTATATTTAGTTTATGTTTTTCTTAGTTCATATCTTAGATGTTATTACTGTTTTTCTTATACATTTTATTGTTGGATGTAACTGGGACCTTGTGTACATAATTTCGCTCCACCACATGTACCACGTGAGGTGCGAATGACAATAAAGAATCTCTGACTCTGACTCTGAAGATATAAACTAAGATAAACGCTAAAACAAAAGCCAAAAGGTACACTAAAATATCTTAGATATACGTTAAACACTACTAATGTAAAACAATACGGCGTATAACATGAGTTGGTGGTGAACAGATGGGTATGAATGAATATAGCAGCATAAGATAATCAGCAGCATGAGATCAGCAGCATGGATAATCAGCAGCATGTGATAATCAGTTGCATGAGATCAGCAGCATGGATATCAGCAACACAGATAAGTCACATATCACCAATTAAAGTGGCATTACAGTGATTTTTTTTTCTTTTTTTCAAGGTGATTATCCTGGTTAGAGATTCATGAGTCTAACAGCCTCAGCATAGAAGCTGTTCCGCAGTCTAGTGGTTCTAAACTTAATCCTCCGCAAACCCCTGCCTGAGGGGAGCGGGCCGAAAAATGTGTGTGCTGGGTGAGTGGGGTCCTTCATGATGCAGGTGGCCCTCTTCCTGCATCTGAAGGTGTAGATGTCTGTGATGATGGGGAGACATACAGAGCATATGCTATATTGTATTATTGAACAAAGATTATACATAATGTTACTTTTAAAATTTGACCAAAATGGCTATAATTCCATCATTTCTTAAAAAGATAACTCTAGCTAGAGGACATAGGTGGTATGCATTCTTTCAAGGAATACTAAGCCATACATTTCATTTAATTTTCCCAACTGTATTTTTTAAATCCTAAATTAGAAAAAAATCCTCCAAAATAAATTATGATTGCAGCATAGTGTTCAAAAATGTTGAAGCACTTGTACTCGTGTCTTGTTGACAGTGAATAATAAAAATGAATGGCATGAGAGTCAGAGAAATCTTGGTGAAGAGGGTTCCTACTGTGACAAACAAACATCATCTTTCATCTACTAGCAGTACTGATGGAGCACGTTGTACAGGCAGAAAAAAATTAAAAGCAAATAAATGTATTGCTATGAATCTAAACAAAAATGTATGATGACTGAAATCATGGAAAGAAGAAAAGAAATGTGGTTTGTAATCACACTTGCTCCAGGTCTTTGCTGGTAGATTTTCGTGGAAGCATATATCCTGTACATTTTATAAAAGAAAAAATTAAAAGAACGTTTGTATCTAAAAAAATATATATAAAAAAACCTGCCAGCACATCTTTTCAGCTATACATAAAGTCTAACATGCATCTTTCTTCCCTGTGGCCACCTTCCATTTTCCCAGACAAGTGTCTGTTTACCTGAGACTGCCTCACATTTTCCTCCCTGCCAGCTGAATACCTTAAGTTCTTGACAGCTAAACGAATTCAGTCTGTTTAGAAAGAAATGATGGATCTTTTATGTCCCAAACCCCTGTTCATTCTCTTGAATAAGGCACAGTGGGTCATGCGGAGATGCAAGGCTCTTCCACTTCAAAGAGCTGAAGGCCTTTGATGTCCCTGACACATTATTAGTGTTCCTGAAGGAACTGCAGCCGAATTAATCAACCGCCCAGTGCTGCTCGGCAGAGGAGCCAGAGTTGCTCCAGCATTGCTCCTATTCTGCTCTGTAGGTCCGAGTCTACCCTGCTGGACTGGTTAACTTCTTAACTGTGAATAGATTTGTTATTCATTGCATTTGTTCATTAAAGTTTATTTTAAATTAGAGCCAGTGTCAAGGATTTCTGAATAAACTCACTCAGAAAACCTGTTATGGTTTCCAGATTGAGCAAGTCAAAAACCCCTGTTGTACAACGGCATGAAAAATGAAATGCAATGTTTTTAACTTTTAGAATAAAAACCTGAAACAAATTTAAAAAAAAATTGCACAACCTGACTTGATCCCACTGTCATTTCCTTCTCGTTTAGGTGAGTCCAGTAGCAGGGCCTCTGGAGGGGGGCACACTTGTCACTATCCAGGGCCTGAACCTTGGCCTGTCTTTCTCTGAGCTGAAGGGTAATGTGGAGGTGGCAGGAGTGCCGTGCACCCCACAGGAAGATGGATACATCACTGCAGAGCAGTAAGAGACACACTGGACTCACAGTCTTACTTACAGTACACAGCAGATCCATACATAACAAAAACACAAAAAAATTAGTTTGACAGTTTTTTTCCCCTAAAAGTCGTCAGACCTGTTGTTTAAAACAAAAGTGTATTCAGTTCTGATCAAATAAATAAAGTCTGAACTCCCTCGATGTGCATTAAAACCATTGCTTCTCAGACCACGTGGTCTGGGCCCCTTTTATTCATACGTGTTTCTGTTGTCGAGCCTCGCTGTAGAACCTCATACTGAACATGACTGACTCCAGGCAGGCAACAGAGAGGATATTTCTGGGTAAAAACAAAAAGCCTGCTCATCACAATTATTTCCAATATATAAATGTCTCTTTTGTTGGGATTTTATACATTTTAGTAGATGTAATGTGTGCGTGAGTTTCTATTCAGTTTATTGCTTATTGTATTGTTTTTGGACCAACTGTGTTCATTATATGCTTTAAGTGCAACTACATGTGTTCTGTCAATCACAAGACAACAGTGTGAGTAGCTTTATGTCACATTATAATCACCTAAATAAACAGCAGATGTTAAATTCACAGTGAAGTTGTCTAAAACGGTCGTCGGTGCGCTGAATATTCACAGATGCTTAGTTTTTGTTCAGACACTGAGCTCTGTGACGTCACTAATCATTGTTTGTGTGGTTTTATTTTTCTTTTAACTAGTCTTAGATAATGAAGCTTATCAAGAGATAGTTATTCAAATGGTCGTTATTCAAATGGCTCTGAACCATGTTCATTTTATTGTAAAAATATAATTCACGTCTGAATGTATTGTCATTTTTACAAAAAGACCTGCCGACTTGCTGATATCCAAATTCAAATTCAAAAATACTTTATTAATCTCAAAGGGAAATTATTTGTTGTTGTAACTCATTATCCTTATTTCATTAAGAGATGTATTATATATGTATTATATATTATATGTTGCTCACTGGCATCCTTCTCTGTGACGTGGCTCTGTGTGTATCTACATACAAGCAGGTGACATCCAATAGCTAAACATTTTGGTGTACACAATGTACCATCAAGTGTTAACAGCAGCGACAGAGCTGACCACATGCAGTCAGTTCACTCAAAATAAATTCACAACAACAAACCTGAACAGCCTGCTAAAGACGCCGAGATGGCATTGTGATTTGCGTGGAAGCAGATAGTTCGTGATGCCTCATCAGGTTGCAGGATTGTGTGGGGGTGCTCACGTTGTTCTAGTGCAGTCACATACAAAGGAAGAAACAGACAGCCTCTGTGTTGTTGTTGTTATGAGGCTGTCGGCACAGCTGTAATTGAAATGCGCTGCGTGTCGCTGACTGAAGGGACAATCTGTTAGCCATGTGTTTCTCTCACAGCCATGTAATGCGATTGGGCTCGGGCTGCAGGGACTTTATTTATATCCTTGTAAATAAAAAGAGAGGAGAAAAAAAAAAAAGAAAAGAACATGCCAGCAGTAAATAGGAAAACCATGTGATCTCTGAAGAGAGGGGCTGGGCTGGAAAGATTCATTGCATGCTCTCATTGTATGTTGGAGCTGTAGTTTTTTTATGCTGAGCCGTGCATTCTGCAGCGCCTTTCATTCAGCTAACAGGCTGCTTTAAAATATGACATTACAGCTGTTACAAACATTAATCTCAGTATGAGGTCAGTTGTTGTAATGACTTGCACATGACATGCTTTATCTTACTGACCTGACAGACAATGCTGATTTATTGAAGAAACTGCTATGTTGTCATGACAACGGAGGGTAATGGTGGGTGGCAGTCCTGTTTGAGATGGGGAGAGATGTAGTTTATCATTGGAGTTATATTGCTAATATAGGTTTTCCATTAGGAAGAAAGATGGTCCTCTGTATTGACCTGCAACTTTTGTGAAAGTCCGCTCCAGTCGCGCTGACTAAAAGGAACCATCTTCCACCAGCGCTGCTCTTGACAAATGGGAAATTGTGAAGTGATGCCTTTTTGTGTGCATGATGGCATCGTATTATTATTCATGTATGTGTGATGCTTTTGGATTGCATTCATCACTTTCAATGCATTATTAATAATGTTTTGTTTTGGACAGGATTGTGTGTGAGATGGCTGCAGCTCCTGAAGGCAGAACGCCAGGTCCAGTTAAACTGTGCGTTGGTGAATGCAGACCAGAGCTAAGTGCTCAGTCCTCGCATCTCTACTCCTTTGTGGTAAATCTGCAACAATAAAAGCTCTTCTAAAACAAACATTGCTTATTGAAATATCAAGACTTGTTTGCATGTGAAAGCAAAACATTTTGATCTGCAGGTTGTAGATTATACACTTTAAATCATTGTTCATGGTGCAAAGTATTGGCATTTTATGGTTTGTAAAAACATAAAAATACAAATGTTTTCTTTTTTTTAAACTATTAGCTCTTCAGTTATCCATGTTATTAGATTAACTTTTACTTACACATTTGTTTGAACCTCTGATCAAGACAAGTGATCCAGAAGATGAACACTATAATGAGTTTATAGTCTATAATGAACATGGGCTTTGCATCTCTGGTCTCTGACTTATAAGATGGGAATCTAAATACAATGCCAACAATCTAATTCAATAAAGCTAGGTGGGCAGCAAAATAAAATAAAAAAAATCTATAGAATGCAATTAAACTCAGCTCATAATTGATGCAATCCAACCTTTAGTCACTATACAATGAAAGTCAATACATGTTTGATTGAACACATTATGATTTTGTGCAATATAATACAAAAAGGAATGGCCCTATGACTTAGTATTCACCTAATAAAAATGGCTGCTAACAAACAGGTCTTACTTTAAAGTAGTAAAAGAAAAACATGGCTTAGAGTTAATAAATATTACGCAACAAATTAGATTTAGTGCAAAAATAATACTCTTCCCAGCATCAGATGTGTTTAACACTCTTTTAGTAATTCAGCAGTGAGCCCACAAATCTATTTTCTACACTGGTAAGAGTACAACATAACTTTTTTTTTTTTTTGGGAACTGGAGCCAATTCACGTTGTTTGAAGCACACACTCATCAGTGTTTGTTACTGTTTATATGGGTGATGCTGCAGGTCTCCTCCTGAACTGTAGATGTCACTACAGAGAAAACACTACTGTTAAACGGCAGGGACTGCAGCCTGAAGAAAAGCTGTTAACTGTCATAAACAAGCATAACTTTAATTTTCCTGTTATTTTTTTTTTTTTTTAGTGGATGCCATTGTATACAAACAAATCTGCTTGCTGATTTAAAGTGCTGGTATTACAAACCGGATTCCAAAAAAGTTGGGACACTAAACATATTGTGAATAAAAACTGAATGCAATGATGTGGATATGGCAAATGTCAATATTTTATTTGTAATATAACATATATGACAGATCAAAAGTTTAATCTGAGTAAATGTAACATTTTAAAGGAAAAATATGTTGATTCAAAATTTCACAGTGTCAACAAATCCCCAAAAAGTTGGGACAAGTAGCAATAAGTGGCTGGAAAAAGGAAATTGAGCATATAACGAACAGCTGGAAGACCAATTAACACTAATTAGGTCAATTGACAACATGATTGGGTATAAAAAGTGCTTCTCAGAGCGTCAGTGTCTCTCAGAAGCCAAGATGGTAAGAGGCTCACCAATTCCACCATTGTTGCGCAGAAAGATAGTGCAGCAATACCAGAATGGTGTTACCCAGCGTAAAATAGCAAAGACTTTTAAGTTATCATCATCAACCGTGCATAACATCATCAAAAGATTCAGAAAATCTGGAACAATCGCTGTGCGTAAGGGTCAAGGCCGTAAAACTGTACTGGATGCTCGTGATCTCAGGGCCCTTAAACATCACTGCACCTCAAACAGGAATGCCACTGTCAAGGAAATAACAGAATGGGCTCAGGAATACTTCCAGAAAGTATTGTCAGTGAACACAATCCACCGTGCCATCCGCCGTTGCCAGCTGAAACTCTACAGTGCAAAGAGGAAGCCATTTCTAAGCAAGCTCCACAAGCTCAGATGTTTGCACTGGGCCAGGGGTCATTTAAAATGGAGTGTGGCAAAATGAAAGACTGTTCTGTGGTCAGATGAGTCACGATTTGAAGTTCTTTATGGAACACTGGGACGCCATGTCATCTAGACCAGAGAGGACAAGGATAGCCCAAGTTATTATCAATGCTCCGTTCAGAAGCCTGCATCACTGATGGTATGGCGTTGAATGAGCGCTTGTGGCATGGGCAGCTTGCATGTCTGGAAAGGCACCATTAATGCAGAGAACTATGTTCAGGTTCTAGAACAACATATGCTCCCATCTAGACATCATCTTTTTCAGGGAAGACCCTGCATTTTTTAACACGATAATGCCAGACCACATTCTGCAGCAATGACAACATCATGGCTACGTAGGAGAAGGATCCGGGTACTGAAATGGCCAGCCTGCAGTCCAGATCTTTCACCTATAGATAACATTTGGCGCATCATAAAGAGGAAGGTGCGACAAAGAAGGCCCAAGACAATTGAACTGTTAGAGACCTGTATTAGACATGAATGGGAGAGCATTCCTATTTCTAAACTTGAGAAACTGGTCTCCTCTGTCCCCAGACATCTGTTGTGTTGTAAGAAGAAGGGAGGATGCCACACAGTGGTAAAAATTGACTTGCCCCAACCTTTTTGGGATTTGTTGACGCCATGAAATTTGGAAACAACAGATTTTTCCCTTACAATGATACATTCTCTCAGTTTAAACTTTTAATCTGTAGTGAACTAAGCCTCAGGTCAAGTCCTGGCCTTGAGAGCCTGCCTGGAACAAGAACTGTATTTCATTGATTTGAGTCCAGAAACACAAGATTAAGTTCATCCAGAGACTTTCTAAGTGTCCTGCACTGATCAATTGAAAGAACACTCTCTTTTTCTATTATCATTACTATTTTACAAATGTTTTGATAATCAAATTGTGTTTAGTTCAAACCATTTTCAAATGTTTAAGTGAACTACTCATTTTTAAATCAACTGTGAAACAGTATTAGTGATTTTAATCCTCATTCAAAGTAGAAATCAGGTTAATGATGCATTGTCTGATTTTCTGTCTTCAATGAGCAAGTTGTGTAAGTTGGTCAAAGGTCAAGTTTCGGTCAACTGCAAGTTTACTGAAAAAGAAATGTCATGTTTAACTTTTACAGAAAGATACTAGAGAATTGACTCCACAAAGTCTGGAATCTTCATAGCAATCTTATGTCTGTTCTTAAACAACTCAATCTTTTTCCTTGACTCTTAATAACCTCTTACATCACAAAAACACACCTTTGTCTGGTCATCGACCAATCAGAAAGTTCTCAAATGAACCGGAAGTGACCTCTTTTAAAAGGTGCAACACTTCCTAGTTCAGGGAAGTTATCAGAAGTTCTGAGAAGTTCGAGAAGTTCTCAGTAGTTCTGAGAAGAACGCTGAGAAGAACGCTGAGAAGAACGCTGAGAGAATGCTGTGAGTTAGTTCCGAGAGCAGCAGAGTTCAGAATGCTGGAATGCAGAATGCTCAGGACATCTGCAACTAAGCTGGACGAGAGAAGTTCAGAGGAACTATGAAGTCTGTTCTGGACGATCTCACGACTCCGAATGGTTCCCTACTATCCTTACGGAGACGCTGGATAGCGTTTGAAGGCAACTCTACACCGAAGTCGGAATTATCCTCTGCCAAGGTAAAAAGAGTCGATCTTCAACCGCAAAGTGTACCGTTGGTTAAACTGGGCCTTGAAGGAGTGTGTTGTTCTGGTTATAACAGACAAATTCCCTCACCCATCTCTCTCAAGATAAACTTCATTTTCCATCTTTAAACTCTTTTATCCTGCTAGAAATCATTCCAGATATTTTTAGAAATGTCTGTTGTACAGCTGGAAGCAAGGGAAACCATCGCCGTATGGTCTTCTAATTGTAAACTGATTAATTAACCTGTTGTTATTTTCAATTTTGCCAAATTAATGTAAATGTGTGATGTTAAATTTTGATTCTGAAAATAAATGACCACGTTCATTTTGATGGGTCAAAGAAAATTAACGTCTCACGTTACATCTTTAATTATTCAATGCACGATATTATTCAGTCCAGAAAAATGAATGAATCCGTTTAATTTATGAATATATCACAGAATATGTTCATCTACAAATCTGTGATTTGTGTTCTATTCTGAATAAAATATTAGATGTTGGCACCTCCACATCATTGCATTCAGTTTTTATTCACAATTTGTTTAGTGTCCCAACTTTTTTGGAATCCGGTTTGTATAACATGAAATTATTTGTGATAAATACCAAATGCATTATTCGAAAATAATGATAACATGTTGCAAAATCATATTGCTAAGATGAACAGTTGTTGAGATTTTTACATTTGCCTAAACAGGAAGTGACATCAAAGTGGAACATGTACACAGACAATTATTGCAGAGGCAATGATTCAGACAAGAGAAAAAAAAAAAGAAGTTTCTTTAAATTATTCTGAGTCACTATCAGAGAGAGAGAGAGACAAAGAAAATTCAGAGTTCATATAAACACAAAGCAGGGAGTTCTCCTTTGTCATCACTTCCAGTTTCACTTTGGCTATGCCAAGTAAAAATAAAAGCAAGTTATTTGACAAAATGGGTTAAAGCAATTGTATTATGTCACATTTATTAGTTATTAAGATTTTATCCAGCTTTTGTGTTCTTAGAAATGCATGTCACGGACACTTTAAATTGTTAATTGCATTTTCATCGATACAAAGTCTTAATAAATCTGGTCTTTATGGAGGCAGTTGCTCTGTGAATTGGTACAAATCTTTTAATCATGACATCCTAACTGTACATTTTGTCTGAAATTTTGTTTCTTGGTAGACCCCTATCATGTTGGCACTGACCCCAAGCAGAGGGCCTGAATCAGGAGGTACCAAAGTCACCATCGTCGGAGAGAATCTGAGTGCAGGCAGCGCAGTTAACGTGCACTTTGAAAATCAGATCTGTGAGCTGTACAGGTGAGGTTAATATTAGCTAAACGTTTCTGTATAACAAATACAGTGTAAATGCTGAATGGATTTGGTGAAACTTGCTGAAAAAGCTAAGAACGAGATGTTAATTTTAAAACAAAAGACTAATAAAAGCAAAACATATGCTAAAAAGCAAAAGGAAGCTGAGCAGCAGCTAAAAGCTAAAAGGATAAGAACAAT